AGGTGCCCGCGAGATACTTACGAGGCGTGGCCGCGCATTCTTAGCCCTTGCCGCAAGTACTCGAGACGGGGCGACGGGGTCACATCTTTCGTGAGTCTCTGCTTGTTACCGGGCGTTCCTAATCCACTACGATTTGGATATTTGATCCGAGGGGCCTCTGGCCTGATAGCGCTAACCATCACGTGGGCATAGTATGGGCGTTCTGCGTCGTATGCATCAACTAAACCTTATTAGACGTCGACGACTGAGCGGCGCACGCCAGGTTGGACTAGTAAGCTCCTACCTTTTAAGGAGGTAGCTAGGTCTGCTCACCGGCCGCCCGCGCAACGTGCAGGAGTTCCCGGGGCGATGGCCCAAGACCCCTGGGGGCATAGGTTTAGTCTGGCGTGCTTGACCTCTCTATTAAGCCTAGGTCAGGTTGCGGCGTATTGTTTGGCCGAGGCCGGGCATGCCCCAGGAAAGTGTGTTCGGCCGGAGTTAATCGAGCGTGGTGGTTAAGTTGGTGCACCCCTGCAGGAAAGAAAACATCTATCAATAGCCTGTCCTACGGTAACAGACACTTGGAGTTGTATCCCGATCGATACAACTAGAACTGGATACTTGAGATGAGACATGGTTATGAGAAATGGATAGTATGGCTCTGGGATTGCTTTCTCGCAGGGAGTCGAGAAAGGATCGCCGGCCGAGGTTGATAACACTATTACTACTTTACATTATGTCGATCTGTACTCTTCTATATGCTACAAGATGCTTGAAGATGCCTGAAGATGCTAGTCTTGGATGGGCTAGGCTTTCCCCTTCTTTTCTGGCATTCTGCATTTTAGTCCACAGATACAACCCTTTTCCTTTGATACATATGCATACCTAGTTTAGATCTAATGTAAGTCTTGCGAGTACTTTGGATGAGTACTCACGGTTGCTTTGCTACCTCTTTTTCCCATATACCCGTTTGTTGCGACCAGATGACGGATCCCATGAGCCAGACGACACCACTAATGATTACTACTACCCCGAGGATGCCTACTACAACGTGACGACCGCTGACGACTTGGAGTAGTTAGGAGGCTCCCAGGCAGGAGGCCTTGCCTGTTCGATTGTTGTTGCTTTTGTGCTAGCCTTCTTAAGGCAGACTTGTTTAACTTATGTCTGTACTTAGATATTGTTGCTTCCGCTGACTCTTGTGTATTCGAGCCCTCGAGGCCCCTGGCTTGTAATATAGAGCTTGTATTATTTTATTTCGTGTCTAGAGTTATGTTGTGATATCTTTCCGTGAGTCCTTGATCATGATCGTACACATTTGCGTGTATGATTAGTGTACGGTCAAATCGGGGGCGTCACAGGGTGTCTCAACTTGATTAACCGAACTCATTATGTTGTTCATTGGCATATAGATTTTGTGGGGTTGCCGATGCATGGGAGTTGGAATACATATGTTGCATGTTGCTGAAATTATATGAAGTTGAAGCATGAAGATTATTCTGAATTGGTTGTTGCACATAATTAGATGCATGGTTGATAGGGCTAGCTGATACATTATGCTCATTATACGATCTAGCAACGACATATGCATTATTTGCATCTACATAAGTGAATTGGTTATTCATATTACCTTCGTAGATGCCAAATCCTAGATGACGATCTCTTCGTAGCAAGAACGAGCCGGAGACCGTTCGAAGCTTCGTCCCCAGCGGAGTCGCCAAAAAGTGTGTTCGCACACGAACACGTCATCGTGTACCTCCAACGTCGAGGGTGATGCACCACAGCTCACGTCGAAGGAGACCCGTCCGGAAGCGCGGTACGCAAGCAATCCGGCGGGTGCTTTTGTGGACCCAAAACCACACACGCCCGGGAGGGACCCCGTCATGGCGCGCGGCGGCTATGGCTGCCCTAGGTCGACCTGATCGCCCCTAGGGCCTCGAGGTTCACCGCCCTACAACAAGGAGAACAAACGAAGAACGAGGAAGAAGAAGAACTAGGGTTAAGGAGAAAAGATAAAAGATAAAAAGTGATATATGATTTGTTCGATTGTGTGTTGTTCAATCGGCCGTCACCCCTTAGGTATATAAGAGGCGGCTGGACTTCCCGAGAACAGACGATGAACGAGGAAGAAGAAGAATTAGGGTTAAGGAGAAAAGATAAAAGATAAAAAGTGGTAGATGATTTGTTCGATTGTGTGTTGTTCAATCAGCCGTCACCCCTTAGGTATATAAGAGGCGGCTGGACTTCCCGTCAAGGAAAAGGCTTGGATTCACGTCCAAAACCCTAGTCAAATTCGGATTGGTTTTGTCTGAACTTTCCAAAACTGTTGGGTTTAAATTGACTGGACCTTGCGGGTAATTTTTGAGGTGGTAAACGACCTTGGATGGAAACAAGCCCAAAAGCAAGCTTGACCGTATCGACGAGACAAACAACTTTCATGTTGAATGTTTTCTGATCAGAGGTCATCTTGAGGGACAAATCGCTCGCGTAAAATAGGCAATTATTCGCGCTACCCATTAGACAGGGTGTGTGGTGGGGCGCGCCACTTTTGGCTCGTAATAGGGCTGTATTCCGATGGCTGTAACTTTTACATACGATCTCGTATTGGGACGATTTTTATATTAAAATCGACCGTTTCGACGAGACAAAGACAATTCATGTAGAAAGTTTTTCCATATGTGGCTGTCTTGAGGGTGTAATCAGACTATTAGTGTTCTGAATACAAAATCTCAGTACTTCGAACACAACTTCGGCCTTAGAGATAAGACCGGATGACTATGATCCAAATATCAAAGTTTCTCCTTTTGACGATACGGAACTTTACCACTTTAAACACTTTTCTATTTAAGGCCTTCTTAATTATGTTTTCGACCATGCCGAAATCTGGTGTCAACACATATATTCCTTTTTGGACAATCCTTTCTTAATAAAAAAGGCGCGGGGGTTTTATGGACATGTGCCGCATGTGCTCATCAAATTGCCGGAAGAATCCCGGAGTCTAGGGATGCAAATTTGGAATCTTTATAGAACCCTTGGACATTACTTAGTTCACCAATTGAATTAAATCTTAAAAATGAAGTGAATTCCAAAATTTTAGTTCATTTAGTTGAACTAAAGAAGGTTGGAGGGTACCTTCAAGATTCCAAATTTGCATGCCTACCGGAGCCGGTGCAGCGAATACGATCAAAGATCATCCACTAAAAGGACTTCCGGAAAGAGTTAGAAGTTTTGTTGTAAAATAACAATATACGTGGACTTGACCTGCCGCTATCAGAGTCTGGCCGCAACTTATCTAGGCACGTTTCCAATTAGAGAGACCCGCGGCCGATGCATGGAACTTACTGTGTGGATCATGAGCATTTTGTACACGTGACGGGAAGCAGACAAGACTGATGTGAACGAGATTGTTGGCAGACGGTGAAGCCGCTCCGGTCCAACCAATCTTCTCTATCTTCCCCCCCTGAACATTCAGTGGCTCGATTTGTCAAAGGATGAGGAGACTGCCTACCATTGATGGCTTCTCTTTTGTGCACGCTGGTTTCATGCAACGCATGCAACAAGATGCTGTCGCGGTCTTGCCGACCAAACTAATTTTGGCGGAAACCAGGTCTTTCAGTGAACTCAAACCCCGAAGACATGAGACTTTGGTGTAGCATTCTAGCAAGATCCAATACAAATTTAGATAAATGAGGCGGATATATTGCCCTCCATATCGACTCATTCACTTGTACTTCCTCCGTCCCAAAATAAGTGTCTTAACCTTAGTACAACTTTGCACTACATCTAGTACAAAGTTGAGACACTTATTTTGAGACGGAGGGAGTACATTTCTTTTCTAATCAAAGAATCTTACAAAAAAGAGAGAGGGAGATCATCAACATAAAATTATAAATATTTGCATAAAAGAAGAGATTATTAATATATTCATTTATCACAAAAATCAATATGTGCATCTAGTTCTCAAAAACTTGTCATATATGTAGAAGTGAAACTTTCGGATATTTGACTACGTCTGTCTTCTGAATACTCACAACTATAAATATATGATACATTATATATGTGCCCCATTCCAATCTCAAGCCTTGCCATAGATGATTCGAAATATCAAAATAGTTACCGACTTAGTTGAACGTTATACGGAGACTAAATCTTGGACCCTGATAAGTGCCATGAACATTATGCGAAGACTAAATCTTGGACCCTGATAAGGGCCACACATGTGGCACGAACATGCAACTCCAAACGTTTTTTATGGCAAGTTTAGTGACGTGGGATGGCCAGCTTAGTTGTCAAGCATGCCAACTTCTTTTTGGATGGCAAGTTTCAGTTCTTTTTAGGTTTGTTTTTCTTTTTCGGATGAAAACTTTAGTTGTAAATAACGTTAGAGGGCTGGAGTGATTCGTGCCACATGTTTGGCAGAAGCATACTACTCCCTCCATTCCATAATATAAAAATGTTGTTGGAACTACACTAATGTTAAAAATATTCTTATATTTTGGGACAGAAGGAGTACCTTCTTTCCGGTTAATCACGCCTACGCGTATCCCTAGATTAATAATTTGATCAACCTAGTATAATTTATATATCACAAAAAATATCATTAGAAACTTTAAATGGTATATTTTGTAGTGGTATAATTTTTGGGTTATATTATTTCTATTATATTGGTTAAGTCAATTTAAGAATACGTGCAGGCCTAATAAACCGGAAATGGCGTAGTATTATTGAGAGAAGAATGTTTAATTATGGAAAAATGTACTTGTGGTCCATGTACTTTAATCAATCTAACTAGGCACTCAACATTCTAAACCTTTATAGGTTTTGTCCGTCACCTAGGTAAGAGCATCTACAGCCGGGCGCCCTATATTCGTCTCATACGTCCGGGCAGGCCGTCCGCTAACCGTTCACAAAAAAAAAACCGACCCAACAGAAGCTCTCAAACGGGACTCAAACGACCGGGCTGACTAGCACCCGTATATCCGTCTCAAATGTAGGGCGGATATAAGGCGGCCTTCGCCACGTCAGCTCGGCCCACGGCTGGCCCACCCGACCCCATAAAACCCCACATTCGGCAGAAACCCTAGCTCACTCCACTTCGCTCCGCTCCCCTCCCCGATGCTCCCATTTCCCCGATCGGCCAAATCCCTAGCACCGACGAGCATGTCCAGCACTGGCAGCCACTCCGACGGCAGCTCCGGAGAAGAGGAGGAGCTGGCGCTCCGTATCGCGCTCAAGCGCTCGCGTGTCGGTACATGCCGTAGCTCCGGGTCCGGTGCACGCCACCTGCCGCCCGTCGCCGCTGTGCCGACACCGGCCCTTGCCACCCCGCGCGCAGATCTGCAAGGCCTGCCTGATCTGCTCCTCCCGCCCGACGGCCTCCTCCACCTCCGGCCGTTGCTCCGTGCGGGCAGCACTGTGTTCTAGTGCCCGCTCCGCCGATGCCGCGAATGCGGACTCCGGAGTCGGAGGCACATGCCACCCGCCGCGAGAGGCAGAGGTAAATGGAGATGGTGGGCAGGTCCGACGCGTCTGCGCAGTCCGTCCATCGCCACCAGGTGCCCCGTGAGGAAGACCGTCTCCTCGAGTGGGTGTGCCGCCGGTCACTGATTGAGGCGGAGACGAAGGCCGAACGACTCCAGAGGATCAACGCCAAGCATCTCTGGCTCAACATTGAGCAATCCGAGCGGGAGGCGGCGGAGGCAGGGCAGAGGTGGCGAGGGTGGCCAAGCTCAAGCGCAAGCAAGACCGCGTTGTCCGGCGCTTGCAAGGCTACATCGTCATCTCCTATTCCTCCTCCTCCGACGGGTCCGACGTGGATCCACCTCCTGCCACGGACTCCTACAGATGCGCCGGCGACCGAACGAGCAAAGGGCCGGCGAGGAAATGGTGAAGCTCGCCCTCTCCTGTTTATAATCTAGTTGTAGTATGTAGTTACAATGTGCCAGATCATTGAACTGTATGATTTCGCCGTTTGGTGATCTTTTGGTGATGTTTATGTGAATTATGCCCGTTCGGTACCAGTTTATATGTCCATTTCCTGTTGATTTTGATTGTTTTGTGATCTATGTACTAGTTGCGTGAATTTGTATGGATGTAGGGTTCGGAATATGAGATACACTGGTGTGAAGGCTCGGAATTAGGGAGTGCCTGGTTAGTGTCCGCGGGTGTGCCTAGACGTATCCGTGGACGTATAGGGTGTTAGATTTGCCAACTCCGACTGTAGATGCTCTAATAATAGTTTAATTGACGTCATGCATGGCACTATTTTCGTGCAGGTGAGACTCTAATGGAGAAAGGGGATATTGTAACAAAAAAATTCAAGAACCATGAAGAAAACTACTAAATATTCAAATATTTTAAAATCATGATAAATTTGTAAAATACATAAGTTTGCCAATAAATATTGGAAAATCCAAAAAATAGATAATGGAAAAATATTTTTGGGATCATTAATAAAAAGAAGTAAATATAGTGATATTTCATAAAAGCTAGGTCATTATTTCCAGTTTTTCTGTCAGGTCCATTTCTAACATGTCCTTTTCCTTGTACTAACTCATCTAGGATATTTTCCTATCTTAGAGAGAGGATCTGTAGCATCTGCGGAAAATTGGCTGATCTCCTGCATGGCTAAGCCTTTCATTACTTGGGTCCCATGCATGCATGCTTTTGTCACATATTGCATACTCCACCCACCTCACTTCTCGTTTTTTTTTTCATTTGACTTCCAATTTTGAACCTATTATATATTTTTGAACTGAAAGTCTAATTTATGTTTTGTTTGCATATTCGTGTTCCTTGTGACGTGGACTTTGAAACAGGACCATTCTTGAATACAGTTTAAGAATTTGTTTTTACCAAGTTTCAAGTATTACAATTTGATAAGAACAACAAAGAAATTCATCAGGTTTCAAATATTAAAACTTGATATAAGCTAGTCCATATGGAACTTGATAAAACTCGGTAGAAACTTATTATTGATTTATCTTTGTTGTTCGTTTTTATCAAGTTTTTGTACTCGGTAAAATGATCTTGTTTTAGAATTCCCGTCGCCCCCATCCCACCCCTCAGAAATGCGAGGCACTTGGCGGGCCACAATGTGCATGTGCGGCCAGTGCGTGTCCCTGCGAATTTCTCTTTTGTATCATAGTGTTTACTTTTTTTTACTTCTAATTTTACTGGTTTACAGAATGTGTGAAACCGGAGCTAGATAAGGGGCCATATCTAAATTGTTCTGAAAGCTAGAAGTCAAACTTCTCTGATTTCATAGTTTAAAGATCAAAATTAAACTTGGAAATCGTTTTGAGATCAAAGGTAGACCCCCCCCCCCTTTGTTATTCCTTGAGGCAACTGGGGTTTCGTTTAATATAGTACAGACGCAGACATTCAACATACACACATACAATCATTTCTATGAAGGCACGCACGTCGTACCACTATGAGCACCTCCGAGAGACCGAGCTGACATTTTATTTTGAGATTGACGAAGTCGCCACAGATGCCTTCATAGTTGACGGGAACATCTCCTCCCACTGAACGCACATCATCGAAATGCCTGAAATAAATTTAAAAAAATGCGAGCACCAATATCAAATCTAGGAGTTGAACTCTGGTGGAATGGAGATACCATTGTCCTCCTAACCATCAAATCACATGTTGGTCGCCGACGCAACTAAGATCGCCACAAAATTCTATCACCACGTTATTTGGGACGTGGCTAGATGGGATAGATCTTGAAACAGCGAGACATACTCGTGTAGGAGTATGTGCTTTATTATGGGCAGTTTGGAAACTGCAGAAATGATTTGGTCTTTATCAGAACAACAAATATTCATTTTTTGCAGGTTATTTTCCGGGCCACTGCATTGCTCCGTATGTGATCGCTACTCACTCCGACGGAGGCCAGGGAGCGTTTGGTTACTGGATCTACCCGATGGAAAATAGTAGCACGGGCTATTTTCAACTGATTTGGATGGCGGTCATGTAATAAGATAGGCTTGTAGTGCTCCTATCTCAGTTTACCGGCCGGTTGTGGCTCTTATTCTTCTGTTTAGCTCTTGATGAGCCTGATTTGTTCTTTGATCATGACAGGATGATTTGTACCGGAACCTTTGCTTTTTAATAATATTATTCGTATGCATCGTTCTATTGCAGAAGTTGGGGCAAACCCCCTTCTCGATTATTATTTTTCGAAGTCGATGCTTAGAACCATCGGATGTAACCAGTGCGTGCAAGTGCACAAGGATGAGGTCTTCATCAAATGGATATGCATGTCCATTGGTAAATGGTTATTTCAAATAAGTCGACTAAGAAATAGTCACTTCCCTTCTCCCCCTTTTCCCTGTTACAAATTCGTAGTACAAACTAGCTAGTGCTCAAATTCATAGATCATTCTTTGTCCAGAATTTTATGTTTTAAGATTTAGATAGAGCATAATCTGTCAATGGAGACGAAACTGCTCAAGATTCGATCTGTTGAAACGAATGCATAATCTAGTCCGTAGACCAGTAGAGAAGAGCAGCCAATGTGGCTATATCGTCTCCGTATGGATCACCGCCAGCTCCTTCCATCAGATCCTCCTCAAGCGGCTGCATGGATCCACCGGAGCCGTCACCGTCGTCGGGCGACGCGGTGGCTGCCGTGGATGGCCCCGGAATGTCACCGCGTGCAGCCGCTGCAACCGGCCGTCGATCGAACTGCCTCAGTGTCCCCGATTTGGTGTAGAGTCGACACAAGCTGAACTCGCTTCTCAGCTACAAAACAACACAAGTTCACATCAGACTACAGATTCGAACAATAATTAAGTTTCTCAATCTCACATATATGGATGAATAGCGTATCAGCAACTTGCATGCCAAGATGTAACATGTAAGACGATAAAAAGACGAATAACATGCATGTTGATGTAGGTGGGGCTGTGATGATGAGCATCCCGGTTAATTGGCACTATCTATAAGCACAGCACACACACAATCCGAAACCTATGCCTAGATAAATTGCTAGTTGCGAGCTGCTTTTGGGCACTTATCCGGCGACAAAAGTGACAGCCATGTCTGTCTGATACATATGGAGATGGACATATCACATATGAGTGGCATCGAGTATTACCTGCGGAGGGAGGTTCGGTGGCGCAGCGGCGTGGGGACCCCCGGTTGCCGTGGGTGCGCCGGCGGCGTCGTCGTTGTGCTCGTGCTGGAAGGCCCTGTACTCGTTCATTTTCCACTTGGTCTTGGTCCCGGACGGCGCGCGGCCTCGGTAGAACACCATGGTCTTCCTCAGCCCGATGGGCCGGCGGTCGGCGGAGTAGACGACCCCGGGCGTGCCCGCCGCCTTCCAGTACCCCGACGGCGTGGTCCGGCTGGGCCGCCCGCCCCGCGCCTCCCGCTCCTGCCGCGCGCAGAAGTAGAACCACGGCTCCCCCTCACCGCCACCGCCGCCGCGCAGCCTCTCGTGGATCTCTGCGTATGTGCGCAGGTAAGAGGCAGCATGACGCAACGCACTGTACGTACGTAGGAATCCGTATATGATGATCGATGGTCCTACCTGAGAGCTGCAAGGGGTCGACGGAGTAGACGTCGACGACGGGGATGACGCGCTCTATGTCGCCGCGGCTGCCGTCGAGCTTGTTGCGCAGGTAGAAGCATATCAGCTCCTCCTCCGTGGGGTAGAAACGGTACCCCGGAGGCAGCCCGTCGGCCATATGACAGTCTCCGGCGTATATATGGCGCCGCCTTACACTTTACCCCGGCCGGCCACGGCCAGCCTCGGCGGGTAAGTTTACGAAGAAGACCCTAATAACGACTAAAGCCGCCGGCGAGATCCTTAGCCAGCTGCTCGACTGGGCGCGTGGCCGGAGAAGCTAGCTTGCTTGTAGTCACAGCTGGGATGGGAGCTGAGCTGATCGCCGAACTTATTGAGGTGTGGTCTGTGGGTTGGTGGTGAGGGGAGGTGTGAGCGCGTGCGCTCTCGCATGTATATATGGGGAAGCACGAGCGGGAGGCGGATCATGTCATGGTTGACACGGGGCGACGACGCTGAGCTGCTTGCTGGGGCGGCGAAATTTCTCATGGCTGCCGTGGTGTGGTGGGAGTGGGGGTTGGCTCTGTGCGGGAACCAGGAGAGAGAAGGCGGGGACGTGGCCGGGCTGGTTAGTTTAGTGGTGGGAGGACTTCGTCAGGACCAGCCATTGCTAAGTCGCACTTCTTGGAGATTGCCGTTCATATCTTCCTTCTTTCAGTACCATTAGTGCACCTTTAATCATGGTGGACACGGGATTTAACTCGGTTTGCTGCCGAGAAAGGTCCTGCACATGACATCACCCAGTCACTGCTCATGACGTGGTGGAACACTGTTGGGCGAGACCTCTTCTTAGAGCAACCCTAGCGAGTTCTTTATGTGTCCGTAGCCTCCAAAATCGTTTTGGAGCACCTTCCGTAATTTTCGAAGGCTGCGGAGATAATGTGCAAACACATAGTCGTCATATCTCAATCCTCAAATTATCTCTCCTTATTTCATCTTTCAACATCACACGCTTGGATGTACGGCATTTCATTTGAAAACAGTCATGCTTAGATTTCTTTATGAAATTATTAGGAAAATCGCATGAACAAAAGATGAAGAATCATGCACACATTCAACCTACATGTACAAATCATATGTGGCCGGCCCGCATGTATGCACCGTTCCCTACTCCTGTATTGGCGGCTTCGTTACATCCTGAACGCACGATCTTCGATTCATATCTCAAAACGATCTTGATGTGACATCCATGGTATTTGGATCCAACATTATCAGTTGGTTCACTTTGGCTATCTTCTCTCGCAATAATCATTTTTTTTATCAAACTGAGGCATACGTGTCTTCATCACTTTCTTGGTTCTTTTACTTTCGTGCATAGCCCTTCACCTCGCCTTCTTCTCTTATAACCTCCTCTCCTTGAGCTCCAACATTTATTGTTTCCTCTTCTCCGCCGACTCCTTCCTTGACTTGACCAACTCATTGATTTTGTCTTTCATCGCTCACACCATCCCCTTCGATCTCTTCCTCCCATTGGATCACCCCATGCTAGACGGCAAAGTGGGACTTCTTGGTATTCTCTCCTCTCCACCATCATCTTCCTCGTCGTCATCCAACTCCAAAGAAGAAGAGGTCTATGACCTCAATAATTTTTGGTGCCTCACGCCATAAGCCGGAATGGTACCCATGGGTTAGGGCAGAGTCAATGGCATCGTCAGCAAGACCTGTGGGTGGAAAGAGGAGTGGGATAGGAAATGTCTCTTACACCAAGCCGTTTCTGGGATGGAGCGGTCCAAAATCACCCCAACTCTCCAAACATCAAGGCGGGTGGACTGGATTTGGAGCACCCTCCAAAAATTATGGTGATGGAGCACGGGATAGAGAATCCTCTTGACCAACTTTTAAGACAATCACCATACAAGTACTTATTAGGGCGTTCGAACTTATATGACGACTCTGCTAGAGTCACACTTACTAGTTTGGAGTGGCCGACATGTCAGTTTCTCGGATGACAGCTCTGAACTATTGGTTCTTACATTTACTATTTAACGCTTATTGTAGCTCTACCTTAGGACTCGTCTGCCAAGCCCTTTCTCTACTACAGCCAGTGGCGAAGCCACATGCTGGTTGTATGGTCACTTGAATACTCAGTTTTTTGGCAAAAAATCTCATATATAAGTTGAAAATCATGCAAAAAAATTTACAAAACTCATACAAAGACATATATTTGACCACACGAATTTGAATTGACTACACAAGACTAGAGCCTTGGCACCGCCATTGACTGCTACCATCTATGTTTTGTGCAAACCTGCTTCCATCTCTTTTTCATATTGTCATATCACTCACGCTGCTCTTCGCGCACTCACCATGTGCCTCGGCTTCATCTCAATCTTTGTTGTTCGATTCTCACTTGTATTCACCGCCTCTATATGCCTTGATTGCTTGTTGATTTCACCTCCTTCTTGATGCCAGTCCGCCTCTTAGCTCATTCCTCACCTTTCCAAAGTTGTTGCCTCCCTTGACAATCAGTGGATGTGGAGATTAAAATCTCGGTCAATGGGCTTTGTGTTGGTAGTTTTGTACTTCTAATGAATTAAAATTTATCATGCATGATCACATTTTAAACTTCCATTGGACATGCCAAATATTGTGTGTGCACTACGACTAAATGTTGCATTCTCATAATAAATTATATTTACTTGTTTTTTTGTTTTTTCCCTGCATTTTAAAGGGGATCTTTTTGAATTTCATTAAAAAAACTCTCTTGGCATTTTTATAAAAGTTTGCTTTGTTTTCAACATAAATACTTGATATATTTCATTTTCTAGCTTAAAATTTCATGGTTCACCGCAGAAGGCTCTTAATACTAAAATCAAGAAGAATTTTGTACTAAACTTTTGTAAATAGAGTAGGCCAATATTCATTTTCAGCTTTGTTCTGTCCTCTACTTTAACATGACTGGATTTCAACTACTTAGTTATTATTCCATTTCTCTGTGAATTTTTACTAGTGTCATACAACTGAAGTTTTGTGTACTCATTCTTGTCATGCATAGTGGGAATCTAATATTTGCTTCATATATTTTTGTATTTTCCGACAGTAAGACATATTTTGGACTACTCTTTTGTCCTAAAAACTACATATCATAATTGTTTTACAACATAAAGATATGAAGTTCTTATCACCTTTCGTATTGCATGCGCTTAAATATATTTTATTTTAATTAAACATTTTTTCCATTAGTATAAAAAATTATTAATTTATCATATTATGTATTTCAGAAACCAAAAGTAATACAATGGTAGGTAGAAATCTCACTTTTATCATTAATATCTTGATCTTCATTGTCATAGGTATATACTCATCCAATTAATTAGTTACATATAATATCATGTGTAAGAGTTCTAACATTTTATCATTTATATGTAACATTACTATTATTGTCACCTAATCAAGTAGCAAAAGAACAATGCATGTTTTGTTCGATCATATTTTAGTTACTTCTTGTTGAGAAGATCTAGAGATGAGTTGTAACATAGTTTTCCTCACATTGTACCCACAAGAAGCACATGGCACTTAAGTCACTAAGGTGAGTCGAAATTAATAATTATATATATTAATACCAAATTTCTTTACTTGTTTATAACATATTTTGTTAATATACAAACAAAAATATTACATTATCTATTACAATCAGCAGGATCAAGCACGCAACTATACAATTGTTTCATCTTACATGTTTTACTTTTATTGTTGCAATTAGTGTGCATGATATTTTACAAAAAAAGTTATGTTACTTTATTATTTTTAATTTTTACTCGAGAGATTGCGAAAATCTACCATTCAATTCAATTTTATTATATGTAAGTGAAATAATAAAACCAAAGTCATATTATCTCATGAATTAAAACATGTCATCCTATGTAATGTTTTTAAAAGCATTTGCATCCATTTAAGTATCTATAAATATATAGTAGAGAGCTCTAGAGCATAAGCTTGTAACATATATGTGGATGTGGATTTTTTTTAAATGTGGTTGTGTGTATTAGGAGTGTCTATGGGATGCCTACAGACGACAATTTTTTTGAGAAACCCTACGGACGACATTTGATTCCTGCGACTGCTCGTTTCTTTATTCTTTCATAGAGAAATATGTCCTTCATGCTCCTATGTGTCAACCATTGATTGGCAACTCATGTGTGATTTGTAGTTGATAACAAAAAATGATTTCTTATAATAAATAGCACATAGTACATAATGCATGTGTTTGACCAGTGGATGCCTTGGTTTGCTACCTGGAGTGGTTCTGATGACATCACTATTAACTACCGATGATGTGCTAGACTACAGTTGAGCCAATGCACATGAGGAATTGTTCTTACTTCGGAGTCAGCCGCTTAGGACCTCTTTGATTCGCAGGATTTTGAAAATGTAGGAATAGGAAAAGTATAGGATTGGGGTGGCATGCCAAATTGAATCTTATAGGATTAGCAAGGAGTGATTAATGCCACATGGAAAACAAAGGAATGGTAAAAAGAAGTTGGAGTGGTTGTTAGATTTCCCATGAAATGTAGTATAAAAGATTCCATAGGAAAAATACCTATGGGATCGAATCCTATGAATGAGAGGGCCAACATAGGAAAAATTCCTGAGGATTTCAATCCTCCAGAAATCCTATAGAATTCCTTTGAATCAAAGGAGCCCTTAGGTAGTTTTTCCATATGAATGCTCTAGACCTTTGGATCTTATATCAATTTTGAATTCATGTAAATCCTTCCCTAGCCAGCGTCCTTTATGGTTATGTAGGCACTCAGTGCACTGCTCGAGCCAACAATGGCAAGCCATCCTCTACTCTTATAGTATATCTTCATTTTCTTCTCTCTTTTCATGGTAATACGCGTCTCATTTATGTAGATCATAGTACAAGTCACGTAAGCACCGACTTGAAAAAACTGAAAAGACAGCAGAACGCTAGCCTTTGCACGAAGGAACACTAGCTAAGAAAGAAAATTACAATCAAGACGGAAGAAATCTCTGAGCTTGACACCAACGCATGTCACCTGTCTCTGGTACGACCACAGCAGCCATCGAAAGAAATAAAATGATGGATCACCTCCTCACCCGAGCCCGATGCTGCTCCATTGCTGATATGCAGTTTTAAAAACCTCCAAGGTGGCTCAC